ATTTAGAGTCGTAAGATAAAATAATACTTTCTACTGCCATCTCTTAAACTCAGTACCGTTAAATTTTTCTGGTTTTTCTTCATAATTTATTAGAACTTGAACATGGTTCTGGATAGGGACCAGAGTCGATGTAACAATTGGAGTACCACTTCCAGTTGCAGTTTTAGTTGCAATAGCCATAATATCTGATTACAAAAATCAGAAAAAATCAAAACACAAATTAATTTTCTAGTTACTAAAACCAGAAAATAAATTATAACACAAAATAATTTTACTTTTCTTGTTACTAAAACTAAAAAAATAAAATACCACAATAATTTTCTGTAACACAAATTAATATTCTGCAATTGTTAATGATACAAGTATATTACTACTAGTTGTCAAAAAAAATAAACAATATATTACTATTATTGGTCAAACAGTATATTACTACTATTTGTACTTTTCAACCAGAATATCATTTTGTGAAAACATAGAAAATTAAATACAATGAAGATACCAAAAAACGGATCTGTCTTAAGATTGTTGGACAATCTTCACTGTATACCGAATAAATTAAGTTTGTGTACTTAACAACAAACCAAAAAAATAAAGGAAATGAGAAAGAATGTTTGATTACAAAAATTAAATTGATTAATTTATTGAACAAATTGTCTAATCAAGTCCAGTGTTTAACACTGTGTCCTTAAGACATATTCGTCCTCTCCACGGTGTTTTAAGAATATGGACGTCTATCTCCCAGAATAAAATGATCAATTAACGAAAAATTACAGCACTACAAATTTTTCGTACAATGAACACACTTAGTGTATACATTCTTTCTCATAGAAAATTTATGGAATTAATACAGCAAAATGCAGAGATTAATTGCAGCAGACAAGAACGAAAATTGGAGTGAAAATATCAAATGAGAGCTGCCTATTTATAGATGGAGTGGTGGCTGTACAGATTTGAATGAACAGGTATGATACCTGTTCGGACAAATCTGGTTTGATTTTCAAACAGATAAAACTGTTTTGGGTTTGAACAGATTCGGATCTGTTGGACAGATATGAAACTGTTCACAGGACAGATTTGAATTGAACTGTACAAAATTTGAAGAGGTGCAAACAGATTTGAATTCAAAAATTGAAGACAAATTTTATTTTACCAAGAAAAAAATTAAATTCAAATGTTTTTGGCCCCAACCCAACCTCACACCTGCGCCTAAGCCCGCCTGACCGACCGGACGGACAGCGGCCGTGCACGCGGTAATTTTTGGATCCAATGGGTCTAGCCCAAGGTTTTAAAAACTGGACCGGTGAACGAACCGAAAAAATGATCGGGGGGACGGGTCACCGGTTCAACCGGTGGGTTGAACCGGATCGAACCGTGATGTCATAAATAATTTTTTAAAAAATATAAATTAATAATTTAAATATTAAATTTTCGATTTTTTTTTTAAAAAAAATCTTAAATATTTTTAGTGATATTTTTCTATACTTAAAAAAAAAAAAATTGTAATTTGTAATATATTTTTATTGACACCTCTGAATAGTAATTTTCCCTTAAAAAATTTCAAAACACTAATTCAATATGTTCATTTAATCCTTCCGTACCAATACAAGCTAGCTACAATCAAAAAATAAATAATATTGATCTAAATCATCTTAAGAGACAATTATATATATATATATATAATTCATCAACAGTGTGCATAATTCCTAAACAGAAACAGTGTTCAAAATTCATAAACAAAGCATTCTTCAAGTGTTTTATTATTATTATTTTTTTTTATCAAAAGTTGATTTGTAAAAACAGAGGCTTCTTCTTCAATTTGAATTTTTTTTTATCAAAAGTTGATTTGTAAAAACAGAGGCTTCTTCTTCAATTTGAGATACCTGTGTGTTGATTCAAGTGAAGAAAAAAAACAGAGCCTTCGGAGATTCAAGTGTTGATTTTGGTTCTGTCAAGTGTAGACCCAAAATTTCTAAAAAACAAAGAAAGAGATCAAAGATCCATCAAAATAATACCTGGAGAGACTGGAGGTTGAGATCGGCTGTCGGAAAAAAATAAAAGTAGATCTGAAAATTTTCCTTCAATTTGAGATACCTGTGTGAAGAAGTGAAGAAAAAAATAGAGATCAAAGACCCATCAATTTGATTTGTTAATGGCGGAAAAAAATAGAGAGACAGATCGGAAATAAATGAAGAGAAAGAGATACATGTGTGAAAAAGTGAAGCCCTAGCTGCTGCTCTCTCTGAAATGAATGAAGATCAACAAACAAAAATAAAATAAGAGTTGATTTTTTTTTTATATATATATATACAAGCAAACCGTCCCAGTTCGGTCAACCCGTGGCCATGTCAACCGGTTCACCGGTTTAACTCGGGGTTTCACCAATTTTCAATAAATACCCTAGTTTTTGCACTTGGCCGGTTTAAGAGGGCTAACCGGACCGGAACCCCATCCGGCCGGTTTAAGAGGGCTAACCGGACCGGAACCCCATCCGGTCACCGGTTCAACTGGTTGAACCAGCTAGCCCGGTCCGGGTTTCAAAACCTTGGTCTAGCCCATAACCTCCCTCTCTACAAAACTTGGGTGCCCCTTGGCGCCTACCCCAAGTTCCAAACTCAAGCCTTATAAACCCATTCAAAATATGCCCACTAAATCAATGTGGGACAAGCCTTAAACCAAATCTTTAGGAAATTTCACCAAAAATACCAATTCCATGGAGCTCTCTTTGGTTTCAATTTTTCAGTCACCGGATAATGATTTTGAGTAACCAAATATATCACGTGAATCACAACGCGGCATAGAACGCGTCACCAATTTGACCTGCCAAATTTTGGCGCACAAGTCCCACCTAAAAATTAGATCAAAATTAAGAAAAAATTCTTCTTTTTTTTTTTTCTCAGATTTTTTCAAAACCATTTCTAACAATTGTTTGAGTCGGTTCCAAAGTTGTATTGGAATTGGACTTAAGTGCCCTACATCAACAAGAATTGCAACTTGCAAGACTACACAAGTCCTCAAACCATTGGAGTATAAACTTTTTATACTGCAGATGAATCATTAAGAGTTTTAGAAAGAGAAGCGACTCAAAAAGTGCTTAAATAGGCTTACTCCGAAATGTTTATTTGGTTTGCACGCAAGAGATATTTTTCGAGCTTGAGTTGGATTCGTCAATTTGGTGAGATATGAATCGGTTTATTGATTGTAAACCTTCAAATGGGGACTTTCACACTTAAATATAGGCTCTAGGAAAATATTTTTCCATTAAAACATATGGAGAGTAAGATGCTCCTTTTTGGGTGAAAAATGCATTTTTGTCCTAAATGCAAAAAGGCTTAATTTTAGCATATTTTGATTAATCTAACATAAAATTTAATGTTTTGGATATTGTTCCAAATTCTAATTTTTGTTTTTTAAGTAAATAAGGAATTGGGTCGAAAAAAAATTCAAAATATATAAACAAGTCAACAATTAAGCCTTATGAGATATGGGGTTTTTTTTTAGTGTTTTTTTTTTTTAATAAATAATTTACATGAATTGCAATTGCTAAATAATTCCTTTATTTTTAATTTTTTTGGTAACTATAGTTATGATTTTACCACATTAGGTTAAACCTCATGTTTTTCTTCAAACAAGAGGGAGTGCTTCCCTTCCCTACCTACCTTCATATTGACGTTATTCTTTTTCCCCCAAACTCGTGGGAGTGCATACCTTTGTGTTGACGTTATTTTGATGTGCGTTTTTTTTCTTCCAAAGCAAAAATAGAAAAAAAATCATGTGTTACATACATATACACCAACTTGTAGCATAAACAACATGTTGTGATTCGAAAGTCACAATGATAGAGAGTATATCAAAGCAATGCGATTGGTTAGACGTCCAAATCAAAATCTAGAAGAAGTTGTTGTGGTCACCAACAAGAGAAATGTAATAATACAAAATACTTCTAAACAGCAAAAAATCAAAACCCAAAAGACTTATTTGGTGAAGGTTGATATTTTGGTAGAGTAAGACCATCTAATAGTGCATTAAATCATGCATTAGATTTGAAATTTGATGAAAAAATAATTTTTTCAAGTTTTAATGGTTTCACAAATTTGATATTAAAATGAGAATGGAACAAATATTTCATCAAATTGAGGACAAGTTCTGTATTTCAGTATTTCACTGTTCTGGACTGTTGGCCGGGGCAACCGGTCAACCGGTCGGTTGACCAACCGATCGACTGGTTCCCTTTCAAATAGGTAGGTTCAAACCGGTCAAAAAGATTCAAACAGGTAAAAAAAAAAAAAAATTAGCCTTACCGGTTGACCTCTTCCCTTTTAATGCACAGTTGAAGCAAGCCATATTAGATTGAGAAAATTAGTTTTTTTTTTACTCAAATTTAGTGAAAAATTTAGTCCACTGTTGGAGATACTCTAATATTACACAAATTGAATTTTGATATTGATGTGATTTTTTCTAATGTTCTTTTTAATTTATAATTATAATGATTTAATGATAAAAATGTTAGTATCACATTATTTTACATGAGACTTTTATATAAAAATTTAATTTTATTAATAAATGCTAATTTAGGACACACTAAAAAGTTAAAAGATAAAACACAAGATATTTTTCATCAATTTCAAAATAAATGTGCACCTATTATGGGGGGATTAATAATTAATTCATTCAAGATTTATTATATCTTTTTAAGTAACGGTTAATTCATTGAATTATATCTTTGTAAGTAACGGTTAATTCATTGAATCAAAAATCACGAGTGGTAGAAGATTATTCAACTCATTCATTGCACCCTACAATTAAGGACACTAATAACTATCACAATCAAAACCGCGTGGAGACTCTTCTGTAAACAAAATCAAGAAAAAAAATACAAAATCTGAAGAATAATTCCCAAATCAAATCAACCACGTTTCTTTCCATATAGTTCACAATCACGTGCGTCAATCTTCGCCACCAATATCAAGATCTTATATATATATATATATATATATGTATATATACCAATCCCCAAAACAGAGTTAGTTGTGACAGAGTGAGACCACAAGCAAAGCAAAGCAAAGCAAAACCCAGAATTCAATCTGATTTTCGCTCCCATGGAGTGGGTTCGAGGCGATTTACTCGGCCATGGAAGCTTCGGAACAGTGAATTTAGGAATACCCAAGAGTCAGAGCCTTCAATTTCCTCCATTAATGGCCGTGAAAACTTGTGGGTCTTCACACTCTGCTTTGCTCGATCATGAAAAATCGATTCTACAACAACTCAAAGATTGCCCACAGATTATCGAGTGTTTCGGAGGAGATTTCAGCTTCGAAAACGGCGAGAAATTGTACAATCTGTTCTTAGAATACGCTATGGGTGGTTCTTTGGCTGACAAGCTCAAGAACTCCGTTCACCGGAGCTTGCCGGAATCCGAAGTCCGGCGACACACAGAGTCGATTCTAAAGGGTCTTCAATGTATTCACGAGAATGGGTTTGTTCACTGTGATCTCAAGCTGCAAAACGTTCTTCTATGTCAAAACGATGTCGCGAAGATCGCCGATTTTGGTTTGGCAAAGAAATCGGGAGAGAAGATCGTGGGTTTTGAGTTGAGAGGTACGCCGATGTATATGCCGCCGGAGACAGTGGTGGCCGGAGAGCAGGAGGCGGCTGCGGACGTATGGGCTTTGGGGTGTTTGGTGGCGGAGATGGTGGCCGGAACGCCGCCGTGGCGGTGCTCGGCGGAGGGGAATGTGTGTGGGCTGCTGATGAGGATTGGGTTTGGGGAGGAGGTACCGGAGATTCCCGGAAAGCTGTCGGAAGAAGGAAAAGATTTTCTCGGAAAGTGCTTCGTGAAGGACCCTAGAAAGAGATGGACGGCTGAGATGCTTCTAAACCATCCTTTCGTCGTTGATCACGGTGATGATCATGATCATTACAATACCAGAGTAGTAGCATTGGAAGAGACATGCGACGCTACTTCATCATCTTCGTACTCGCCGAGAGGACCGTTCGATTTTCTTGATTCGGAGTTGGTTCAGTCGTCTTGTTCATTTATTACGCCTTTGCAATCGCCGGCAGAGAGGCTGCGGAGGTTGGTGACGGAGGAGAGACCGGATTGGTCTGTTACGGACAGTTGGGTCACCGTAAGGTAGTTCAGTTAGATTAGGATTCGAAGATTTTTAATTTTTAATTTTTAATTTTAATTAGAGGGGGTTGTCTATAAGGGGGGGTTGTGTTGACATCATTGAAAGGGTTGTTCTAATTGGGAGCTGAGAGATCAGAATTTCAGATTGTACAGGTTGTTTTTTTATTTTATGAGGAAGTAATTGAAAGAGTTCTTTCTTTTTTATGGGGAAAATGGGAGTTGCAACTTGCAAGAAGGCATGTGGTGTTTGGATTTGTTGTAGATATTTCATCCAGATTCTGCTTCTTTGTTTCCAAGTTTATATGATTTTTTCTTTTTTCATTGAAAGAATGAGAATTATCATCGATCCTGACAAGCAAAGCAAGGCTACCAAAGGATAATATAGGGAAATTTTTATTTTTTTAGAGTTGGTTTTTACAAGGGTGGTCCTAATAGCACAACTTTTTTATTTTATTGTTACACTCCCCATAACCCCTTTCATCTTATCATTAATCTCTCAATTTCTCTTTACAATCCTATTTTGTTTTTCAAATCTTAATTCTACCCTACCCCCAACTACCAATTTGGGATGATCCTATTTTACGTGTGATCACCAATCCCCAACCTATCACACACAATGTGATATTTTGAGAAAATGATAAAAAGTTAACTTTTTAACTTTTTTTTAATTTTTTTATCTAAAAAAGTAAAGTGGTGGTGTGAATCAAAAAAATCAAAAAATTAAAAAAAGCTAAAAAGCTAATCTTCCCAAATTGTCCCAATATTTTTTTTTATTATTACAATCCTATCCTTTCATCTATCCTCATTTCTACCATCCAAACCCTCCCACCCTAGTCACCAACCATCACCACTATATCCATAACCCCTTCCCAACCCCTTATGCCATCCTCAAATTTTCTCTAGCCTCTATCGTCACCCCTTCCTCACTCTATTAATCCCGTACTCATGTGACCCCAACTTTTGTGATCCCTGACCACCTCATGACTTATCACCACCACCATCGTGACCACCCACTCTCATGACCCTCTATTTCCTTCTTCACCCCTCTTTCTTTATCTCTCTTTTAGTAGTGTCCAAGAAGCTAAGGAAAGTTGGGGTGACGGTAGGAAAATAAGGGGTGTGGTGCAGTGGGGTAGGGTGGAAGCGGGTTGTAGCGGTGAGATGAGATTGCAAAGAGGAAGGAATGGACTGAGGGTGGAGAGGAGATACAAGAGAGGCTAGGGGTGGTTGGTAAGGGTTAGGAGGTGGTTGCTAGAGGTAAGGAGGGGCTAGGAGTGAGTACTAGAGGCGGTGATTATGAGCGCGTGGAGTTAGGGTTTGGGTTTGGTAGAATTGAGGGTTAATTTTGGTACTAAGTGAGATGGCCAAAGAATTTTTACAAAATTTAAAATTAATTGGTAGGAGGCCAAAGCCATGGGGTCCAAAAAAAATTAAGTATTAGCATCACCCTGTTAATAGTTTGTAACTTAAGAAATCCAAAGATGCTAGAATTGAGATCTTTTATATGATTATCCTTAAAAAATAATTACCCAATAAAATATTTGTTTTACGATTAATTTAACAACCTAACTTTAGAGTACCTACCGATATCACAATCTGTGTGATGACGAGGGAATATTACTACTGAATTGGAGAGTACCTAATTAGGGGCTGTTACTACAAATATCAAAATCTATGTGATGACATGGAATATTAGATTGTATTTAGATCATAAATTTTAATATCATGGATATTATCAAAAAAAAAAAAAAATCATGAAAACCTAATTCAAATTGTCACCAAAGCACAAATTTGTTGGGGATGAACAACAAAATTACTACTAAGAAACAATTTAATTAACCAAACACATTCAAATATTTTTTATTTATTTATAGAAACTATGAAACGCTCAGAAAAAAAGATTTATAACTTAATTTAAAACTTTTAAGCTAATAATCTAAAAAATTATAATTATAAAATTTAACTTATATGTGATATTATCTAACTTTTCAATAATACTATTTTTTCAAGTTATCCTACTGTGCCCTCAAGGATAAATTTAATTCATGAATATTAATGAATTATATCTATTATATTCAATTATTTTTAGACCTAAAATTCTTTGTGACCTATGAAATCATTAATTATTGTATAAAATATGTAAAACTCTATTCACAATGACTTTCAAAACTCTATGAAACTTAGTACATATGTTAATTCATGCTTATAAATTAAAAAACCACCAAAAAATATATTTCGGTTTATGGATTCTCTGTTGATTTCCTATAGTTGGGAGCAGAGAGATTGTCATTGGACAATGGTTACTAGAATTTCGATAGGAATTGTAGGATGTTAATATATTATCATTCCAATTTGCCCAAACAATTTGAATTATACTAAGATCTAAAACATATTAAAATATTAAGGTAGTATAAAAATTTTGACTACAAGCCCCATTTCGAAGTTTCTCCTCGTATAAAGAATGTGAAAAGTAGCTTCGGAGGAAGAGTATCTAACATCAAAGCTACTGAATTCAATTTATTATTGGAATCAAATTGATTGGTAAGAAAATTGAAAATTTGAATTACCTCTAATATTAATATTAATAAATAATATTAGCAAATGCTACACAACAATTTATGTTAATATAGAAGATGTGCTATATCAAAGTTTTATCATTTCTAGGATTTTAATAATTTTTTTAACATGCATCATCATTATTGATAATTTTTCATTGGGAGCTTTTTTGATAAATCTATTTTCTAAGAATTTTATTCCATCCAACCCATATTCTTTTTGACTATTTCATTAGGTCCAATTTGAGATAAGAAGACCAAAATACCCTTTTCATCTACTTATGTTCCATTTAGTTCACATTATTTTCTTATATTTCAATAAGTCCTATGGGTGACATAATTACCAAAATACCCCTAATGATATGACATTAACAATTATCAATTATATGAATTTCAATTTTTTAAATTTTATTCTTAGTTAAAAATGTCAAGTGTATGAAAAAATTAAAATTTTTCCCTCAAGTTAAATTTAGTGAATTTAATATTTACTGAATGAAATTATTAATAAGAATATTTGATTCCAACTAAATTTTTATTTTCATAATTTATGAGTGTGAGAAAGTGGGAGATAGACTCGTTGATAATGTGAATATTCACATTGACAAGTTAACATTCACATTGATAGGAGTGTAAAATTGGCCCGCCGCCCGGGGCGGGCCCAGGCCGGCCCGTTCATAAAGTGAATATTCACATTAACATATTAACATTAACATTGATAAGAGTGTAAAATTAGCCCGTGACACGTGGGCAGCCCGAAGCCCGGGCCGGGCCCGTTGACAATGTGAATATTCACATTGACATGTTAACATTCACATTGATAGGAGTGTAAAATTAGCCCGCGGCCTTTGGCCGGCCCGAAACCCGCCCGCAGCTCCTGGGCTGCCTTGGGCGGGCCCGACCCGACCCGTTGATAATGTGAATATTCACATTGACATGTTAACATTCACATTGATAAGAGTATAAAATTAACCCGTGCCCCGTGGCTGCTCGAAACCAGCCCACGGCCCGTGGGCGGCCCGGGGCGGGCCCGGCTCGGCCTGTTGACAATGTGAATATTCACATTGACATGTTAACATTCACATTGATAAGAGTATAAAATTACCCATGGGCAACCCGGGGCAGGCTCGGCCCGGCTCGTTGACAATGTGAATATTCACATTGACATATTAACATTAACATTGATAACAGTGTAAAATTGGCCCGTGACCCATGGGCAGCCGGAAGCCCGGCACCGGGCCGGGCGGGCCCAGCTCGTTGACAACGTAAATAGTCACATTGACATGTTAACATTCACATTGATAAGAGTGTAACATTAACCCGTGCCCCGTGGCTGTCCGAAACCCGCCCACGGCCCGTGGACTGCCCGAAGCGGGCCCGGCCCGGCTTGTTGACAATGTGAATATTCACATTGACATGTTAACATTCACATTGATAAGAGTGTAAAATTGACTCGCGTCCCATGGGCGGCCCGGGGTGGCCCGGGTTTGGGTCCGGGCCTACCGCGGGCCGCGAGCGAGCTTCGGGCAGCAGACAAATTTTACACTCCTATCAATGTTAATGTTAACATGTCAATGTGAATATTTACATTGTCACGGGTCGGGCCAAGCCCGCTTCGGGCTGCGGTCTGGCTTCGGGCCGCCCACGGGCTGCGGGCCAATTTTACACTCCTATCAATGTGAATGTTAACATGTTAATGTGAATATTCACATTGCCAACGGGCCCCGGCCCGAGGTCGGGCTTCGGGCTGCCCACGGGTCACTGGCCAATTTTACACTCTTATCAATGTGAATATTCACATTGTCAACAAGTTGGGCTAGGCCCGCCCCGGGCCGCCCATGGGCCGTGGGCGGGTTTCGGGTAGCCACGGGGCGCGGGCTAATTTTACACTCTTATCAATACACTCCTATCAATGTGAATGTTAACATGTCAATATGAATGTTAACATATCAATGTGAATATTCACAGTGTCACGGGTCAGGCCAAGCCCGCATCGAGCTTCGGTCGAGCTTCGGGCCACCCATGGGCTGCGGGCCAATTTTACACTCTTATCAATGTGAATATTAATATGTCAATATGAATATTCACATTGTTAACGGGCCGGGCCGGGCCGGGCTTTTGGCCGCCCATGGGCAGCAGGCCAATTTTATACTCTTATCAATGTGAATGTTAACATGTCAATGTGAATATTCACATTGTCAACGGGCCGGACCGGGCCCGCCCCAGGTCGCCCATGGGCCGCGGATGGGTTTCACGCCGCCATGGGATGGGGGCCAATTTTACACTCCTATTAATGTGAATGTTAACATGTCAATGTGAATATTCACATTGTCAACGGGCCGGGCCGAGTCGGGTCCGCCCTGGGCTGCAGACCAATTTTATGCTCTTATCAATGTGAATGTTAACATATCAATGTGAATATTCACATTGTCAACCGGCCGGGCCGAGCCCGCCCCGGGCCGCCCACGGGTCGTGGGCGAGTTTCGGACAGCCACGAGGCACGGACTAATTTTACACTCCTATCAATGTGAATGTTAACATGTCAATGTGAATATTCACATTGTCAACGGACCGGGCTAGGCCCTCCCCGTGCCGCGGGCGGGCTTTTGGCCGCCCATGGGCTGTAGGCCAATTTTATACTCTTATCAATGTGAAAGTTAACATGTCAATGTGAATATTCACATTGTCAATGGGCCGGACCGGGCCCGTCCCGGGTCGCCCGTGGGCCGCGAGCGGGTTTCGCGCCGCCACGGGACGCGGGCCAATTTTACACTCCTATTAATGTGAATGTTAACATGTCCATTTGAATATTCACATTGTTAACGGGCCGGGCCCGCCCTGGCTCCTGGGCGGGTTTCGCGCCGCCCACGGGCCAATTTTACATTCCTACCAATGTGAATTTTAAAATATGAATGTTCGCATCATTAAATTGCTAATTGTTCAAAAAATATTTATAAGGGTATCAAAATTGAATATAAGGACATAAGTGTCCAAGAAAATAGTGTAAATCAAGAAAATAGACTTTATGGAATAAAATTATACATATATGGGACTAAATAGGTTAAAAAATTCCTTGATGGACATCTTAAGTTAAAACACTTCTAAATTGGACTTATCAATAAAAATCCATTTTTCATTTCGTATTTAAAATATTATCTTATAAGTTTTACTCATTCGCAACTGTAAATCTGTCAGCTACTTCAGTAGTTGCGGAAGAACTCAAAGCAAACATTTTTATTATTGTAATCATTATTATTATTTAAACTACATATCAAGAAAGAAGATTATTTATTTGACAATAAGAAAAACATATAAACTAAGGCCAAGTTTGAGAACTTATAAAAAAGTTAAAAAGTCAAAAAATTATTTAAAAAGTTAAAAAATTAACACTATTCACCAAAAGTTAACAATTACGGTTACACAACTCCCAATTTGAATTTTTCCCTACAAATCAATTTTTATAATTTTTTATTACATATTTTTTCATAAAAAGTCAAAAAGTTAACCCAAATATCCATATTTTCAACCTCAATTTTTTAGTTCAAAAAGACAAAAAGTGCACTTATTTAGGACATCTCAAACAACCCCTAAACGCGTATAAAATACTGACTGATTGAAGAAGCTCCTCCAACAGCACTTCAATCACTAATGCCCTCCCATTATGCATGCAAAATCTGTCGTTACCCTTGTCTGTACATCCTCACTGCAACTCGCCAACAGGCGCCTCGTTGAGCCATAGGAAGTGGATGAAGTCGTACAACTTTGCACTTACACTGACCTGCTCGGGGATAGGAATTGTATATCTTAGTACTTGCAGATAACGAAACATATACAAAGGAAAATGTTTTAATTTGCAGAGTCGGGCAATCAAGAGATGTATTTGTACAACACCTTGTAAGGAGTCGGATTCAATCTCCTCATGTGGTCAGACCGCATTAGTTCCAGTTGTTTAATACAACGATCCCTGATGTCCTTGAGCGGTGGAAGTTCTTCTCTTGCTTTGTCTTCAAGAAGCAAAAAACAAAGTTCAGACATTGTAAGCAAAATTTAAAATCTTTCCCAAACTAGTCTTAATTATTTATTGCTAAGAAATGCTAAAGAAATTTCTGATCTTCCAATAAAATATTGGAAGTTATGTAGTCCACTTATTACTGCAAAACCTAATTCTCAATCACAGAAGAAAAACCTTTTACAAACACGACTTTCTTTTCAGTTAACTTCAACAATGTATAGATGTGGAAGATAACAAGGACGTTGAGATTGATAAATAAAAGGCTAAAACTGGTTTTTAAATGACTCACATGAATGAACAAAATAAAGCACTGTAAATGGTAATTTTCAATGTAGAAACACACAATTTAATATAAACACTCAAAATTATGCATTGACAAGCTGGCTATATTTGAAGATCAAAGTTACGTATCTACAAATTCTCACCTGTACTGCCAGGCCAGAAACACTTTAGAAGCTCCTCAACACGTTGCGGCACCACATATGCTCGCTTTGATTCACTAAATGGGTGACGACACAAAATTCGTTCTGATACCTACACACAATTTGCTTTGATTCAAACTGGGTAAACAACACAGACTGACTTCATCAAATGGGTGACGACACATCACTTTGATTCATTATAAGAAAATAGTTCCAGTAGCGAAGAAGCAACATGAACCTGTATGTAGTATTCTTATCATGTTTTAACTTTTGATGCATATAGTTATACTTAAAATTTTTAGTTTTTGTACAAAAAAAAACTCGAACTTTCGAAGGTGGATGAATAAAAACTGGCAGTTTCTCAGGAACTGAAATTAATTATATTCTTCATTAACAAATGTTTAGATATTTCATTCTAATATAGTGATTCAGAAAGTAGATTGCATGGGGAAATATGGAATTTTATGGCAGGATAGATGATAAAGTATGAAATTTAATGTGCTACGTTAAATTCATCAGATTTCTTGAATCTATTGCGAACATGTCACATAATTGCACAGAAGAGAAAAGGATAAGAACAAAGAGATTAATAGGAACAAAGCATGCAGGTGAACTACCTTCGGAGGTGGTTCATTTTCCCCCGTCATTATATCTACAAGTGGGTAGCCTTCTTTCCCGTACAATCGGAAACACCGTTTTCTACAAGGAATAGAGACCTAAAACCACAAGGTCAACCTTCATAATATAAAACCATAAGGCCACCAAAATATTTAGCGGCATGAGCAAACCTTTGAAACATCTTCAGAAAGTTTGATACGAGGCTGATTATTTATTTCGACAAGCTTGAAAACACAACCTAAAGCAGCTTGAGCATAACATGTAACAAGATAAGTTCCAATTCCGAATGCATCAACTTCATGCCCCTGTGGAGGAAAAAAATCACTCAATACAAATATTTAGGTCCATAAATAAAGTTATCTTCTCTTTTTCTTTCTTTCTGTAATAAATGAAATCTTCAACATTGTTTAATATAAAATTTGACAATCAATAAATAGAAAATGGAACTATGATGGCAATATTGAATTAGAGATATACTTACCTGTTTGTTTAAAGCATCTAAAGTTTCCTCATTGAGGTCATTACTAGCAGTAATACTCATCTTTCCAAAATCTGGCACTCTGAGTTCCTTCTCAATAGTGCGAAAGAACTTGCGGGCTTCACAAGACAAATACGCAAGGTCACCAGAGTCTAACCTAATGCCCACTGCTTTGTACCTGCACATTATGTCCGCTGGGCAATGAAGTTTAAAACTCATAAAAACAAAACAAAAAAGAAAAAGCGTTTGTCTTATATAAGCAAATAATAGGAAATATAATGAGGCAAATAGTAAGGATAACATAAAGACACACCTAAACTCTCAGAGAAAAATGACAACACAAAGCAGCACCGAGGCTTATAGACAACTTGTAAAATACCGATGAACATCATACTCGCAAGAGCATTATTATATCATGGGCTTTTGTAAAGTCTACCATTTGTACACGTGGTAGGTTTTGCAAAATTGTGCACATGCCAACACATTCATTTTTTCACATCCAATCAGATTTTTATAAAATAAACTGACAACATTATGAAGATTACATATATTAGTTTGCATTGGTATCTAGCACATTATTATTATTCTTGTATTAATTCTTCTAGACATATGTACAAAGTCACTCAAATTATGCGATCTATTGAAGATTTTCCACAGGGAGTGGGAAAGTGAAATACATTTCATTTGAACAAGACATTCAAACTTCACAAAAGACTTTAGCAACTTATCTGATGTATGAAGGAATTGCTACCATAAGGTAAAACATTTGCATTCAAGTCTAATAAAATATTTTCCACAATATGTTTTACTTTTTATAAGTAATAAGGCCCTGAGAGTTTAACAATAGTTAATTGGTAACCTTATATATTAAACTATACCTCCCATTCAATATCACTATCGCACTAATCACCACCATGATCACTATATTGTAAGTGTGTAAAGGCAACCATTTGGTCTTGGTAAAAAAGATTGTTATTTGGGGAAGAAAAAATCCACATGTCAAACTAAATTGAAGTGGGAGGATACCACAAAAACGAAGAGAAAGGTTGATAAATGGAGAACTTTGGTCATCATAGTGAAACCACGTTCACACAAAGAGAAACAATCATAGTAAGCAAAGATGTATATACACTTGTAAACCTTTTGGACATACCCTAAATCATTGAGTGCCAGAGCAACCGCACAGAAATTAGGAATCCCACTTCTCATAACCTGGTAAAATGAACGCAATTTTGTTATAGTTGGGAAACCAAAGATTGATTGACTCAATGGTAGATGTACCGATATGAAAGTAAGACAGTATGGCTTGCACAAGAGTGAAGTAGTAACCATGTTCGTGAATAACCAAAACGAAGCAATATCACCTGACTTCAAATGCGAAGCAACATAAAGCACATTTAACCGGGAAAAAGTAAAATCTACTACTAAAAGTATGACCACAAGTTACGATGTGAGCAATTGGTTGCTAGTAGATTATGAGATGCAAATATCAAGATCATATTGTAAATGCCAAAATTCAAGGGTTATTTTTTGAAGATATCTATAAACGGGAATTTTTTCCCTTTTTTTCATAAAGGAAAATTGCATTAGATAAGAAAGAAGAGAGAACCAAGAACACAGGAGGTATACAAAAAGGCAAAGAAAGCCAAAGATATCAACAAATTGGAAAGTGACAATTATGCCCCATAATTAGCATCCCCTAAAAGCACCCAAGGAAGAAAAGGACACTAAGAGCAAGAACTAAGAAGAGTGTCTTCCATCTTTATAGTTGCTTCATAGATTTGTAACAAATTCAAAATATGGAACCCATGGCTTATCTAGGCAACCTTAAAGCTTAAAACTATTCAAGTTAACAAAGTATCTTGGGAGGAATGGGCATTTTAAGGAAACAACCCCACATGACTAGAACTCACTAAATGATGAAGACCCTGATTTAAGTAGCAGATCTCTAGAGTTCAATGAATCAATCTAAGAGAGATTGAAATTTGAAAATGAATTTACAATCTTTTGCACCCTATCTAACAGCCCTTTAGATATAAAACAAACTGAAAATAATGATTAGGTAAAAAAAAATTGTTGGTCAATCATCTTGTAAAACATGTTTTGTCTAATATGATAAAATCATCTGTTTGGTTATAAACAACAAAGATAAACAAAAAAGCCCGGTTAGATGAAAGATTATACCACATGATACAAGGTTAATCTAACAAGCTCATACTTACATCATATGTGTCTACAAGAGCTAGAAAACTGTTGGGGAATGCTAGGGCATATGAGGTGAAGGCTGCTAACTCGCTCTGATTCGTCTCACCAAAAATGCCATGTAATGAATGTGATCGCTGAAAAGCATCCAAAAACAAAACAATTCAAAAATCAAACATGTAAAGATAAGAAAACACATACAACACTAAAAAGCCTATTGCAGAGGCCAAAAAGCCATCCTAAAATTCAAAACAAAAAGAAAGAAAGAAAGGTATAAAGTATCAACATAAATTGATCATATTTGTATTCAATGCACTAAAATGCATGCCTACCTGAAATTGCAAGAGAAGAGGAGGGGGATGATGATATACAGCATTGAAAGAAGTCTTATCAAAAAATAAGAAGAGAGGTAAATCTGAAACTTTATATGGAGCATGCTTTGCACATTATATAATTACTGCTTAGGGTCAATTTAATAATAATTGTTAAAATTGATGTATATTATTGATTGATATAGATATGTTGATCATTCTGTATTACAAGATTGATAAATTACAATTCCTATACAATCTATATATAGAAGAAAATGTGGTAGTAGGTGTAGTGGAGGTAATAGTGGGTTAGGTGAAGTGGAGTGTGTGGTGAAGTGGAGGTAGGTGAAGTGGAGTGTGTAGTGGAGTAGGTGAAGGTAAAGATGGGAAATTCTAACAATAATAATAAAAAAAAGGTCATACCCAGTGCACAAGGCTCCTTACAGCAGGGTCTGAGAAAGGCAGTAGGTAGGCAGCCTTGCGCCCACTTTTTGCAGAGAAGCCGATTCCTGCGATTTGAGTCTTATTTTATGTATTTTGTAGGTTAGAATGTTGTTACACAAATTTATAGGTTCAAGCAATGTTTTTGGGTATTTTATATGGTTTTTAGAAGGTCTAGAATACTCTAATTAGAAAAAGTTTATTAGTTTCCTATTTGTGAGTTAAAGTTCTTATACAAAACAGAGAATTCTAACAACCTATAAATATGCCTGTGGTTTTGCTTTTCAATAGAGAATTGAGTTAATGAGAATTTAATTATTCCTTTTTATAATGTTCATGCGTATTTTCTTGCCCCCCCCCCCCCCCCCCCCAAAAAAAAAAGTGCACTTTTCAACCCCAAAAACCCCATCCAATCAAGCTTAAATCAAACCTAACACCTTCCCCTACCTACTAGCCTTCAATTCAACTACTGAAACTGTAAAAAATTAATGTATTATTGATTGATGTATGTTATATATTACAAATGGTGAGGGACTCCTTATATAGGAGATGTAGTGGAGTAGGTGGTAGTAGGTGGTAGTGGTAGGTGTGTAGTAGGTGGTAGTAGGTGGTGGTAGGTGTAGTAGGTGGAGTAGGTGATGGTAGGTTTTAACAGCCCCCCGCAAACTCAAGGGGGATAGGAACTAACCAACTTGAGTTTGGAGAGAGTAACAAAACAAGAAAATAATCTGAAAAATAAAAAATGGATAGGAGACACTGTATGGTCGTGTCAGACCGTTGTAGAAGACTGTATGGTTATGGCAGACCGATGTAGAAGACAGTTTATCGTGTCGGACCGATGTAGAAGACAGTTTACGGGGTCATGTCGGACCGATGTAGAAGACAGTTTACGGGGTCATGTCGGACCGATGTAGAAGACAGTTTACGGGGTCATGTCGGACCGATGTAGAAGACAGTTTACGGGGTCATGTCGGACCGATGTAGAAGACAGTTTACGGGGTCATGTCGGACCGATGTAGAAGACAGTTTACGGGGTCATGTCGGACCGATGTAGAAGACAGTTTACGGGGTCATGTCGGACCGATGTAGAAGACAGTTTATTGAAGGAGCTAACCGGAATCAATGTCGGGACAGTTTACAGAGTCTTGTCGGACCCCTAAAAAGTCGCACCCTCAAAAGGTGTGTCCAATCTTTCAAAAGGCGTGCCATCAAAAGGCGTGCCCAATCCATAAAAAGGCATGCCATCAAAAGGCGTGCCATCAAAAGGCAAGCCCATGTTGTCGTCGAGCGTCGAGCGACGCATGATGCGCGTGTCTGCCTTGGCTATTTAACCAAGGTTGAGGCGGAGGCTGTGCAAACCAGTCTGAAACCGCCGAACATTTGCATTCTGAAATACTCTGTAAACACTCTGTAACCAATCGGTTGTTTTTCTTCCTCTATCGGAAAATATAAGTGAAATAATGCATTGTTAGCACACTCACATTGGTCAATGAGAAAGTTGAAGATGCATGACCGTCCCAGAAAGGAGATTTGTGGTTATGCTTATTCATTAATGGTGAGCAACAATTTCATATTTTAATTTGTTGGTTGGCATAACATGAGTCCACAGTGGATAGGGAGTTATTCGAGTGGAATTCTCACATGCACACTTTGATCTTCATGAGCACAATTCTAGTGAGGAGTGGAATTTTGAGTTGTACACTAAGTAGATGATGTGTCTAGCAAAGTTTCTTGATTAAAAAAAAATATATAAAAATTTGTCCTTTAATGCTTCTAACTTAGTAATCAGGCCTCATGCCTCAGTAAGTAGAGAGTGTTCATGTAACACCCCAAACTCGCCTTTCTAGAGCCTGGTGCGTTAGCTAAAAACTCAATCAGTTTCGTCAAATGTTAACCCTCAACAACCACAATACTAGATTAACATTCTCAAATTTACAATGGTCCCCAAACATGAAATAATACATGAATCTCAAATTTTACATCATCAATAATTCTTCATAAAACCTGGCCTTGTACTAGACTCTACTTCAAACTCAACTTGATTCTGCACTGACGGGAAAAATGGGGTAAGCTTGATAGCCTAGTAAATAACTAACTATCACTACTAGTTAGACCAAGTATACAGAAAATAGTGTATAATCAATAACTATATTTACCAACAATTCAATTAATGAAACAATTAAATTGCAAGATAATTCCATGGTTGAAAAATAAATAAAATGTAACAACATATTCTAATTGAAAAGATAATTAAGTGATTCAATGCAAGTTTATTTGATCAAATCAATAGTTTGATATTCAATGGTTTGATGATTCAATTTACAAAACTCTAAGTCTTGATGACTATGGCCACTTAGCCCATGACAAGGCCCAAAACTACACATAGGCCGGTGGTAAAGAGCGCCCCCCCCCCCCCCCCCCCAAAAAAAAAAGTGCACTTTTCAACCCCAAAAACCCCATCCAATCAAGCTTAAATCAAACCTAACACCTTCCCCTACCTACTAGCCTTCAATTCAACTACTGAAACCCTAAAATACTGAGTGTTAAAGCCTTCAAATAGCCTCAGTTAAGAAAATCCAGCAACCTGTCACTTTTATAACCAAACAATTTTAGCTCTTAAAACCCTATCCTTCGAATCTATTCCTACCCCTGAACCCACCAAAAATCCAATTGTAAGCGCCATTAGGCCAAATTTACAAAATAGTCCTACATCAGATGAAATAAATCTTGCACAAGCATGGTAGATGGAACTTTTCAGAAATTGGAATGGTATGTGATGTGGAGATATCCATGGGTGAATATCTTAGAACATATATGAACAGACATGATTACATTCATGAATACTCCAATGCACTAGAAAATGGTCAATTGGCATGAGAAACACGAGTTGGAGAACAGAACTCAAAGTTGACAGGGTTACATGTAATTTGGCATTCATACTATCTACTTTTTCTGCACAAGAGCTATTCTAAAACAAACTATATTTACATGAAGTCATTGCAGTGTGTTATCATACAAGATGAAAATTCTCATTTTCAAGCTGTCATGTGTGAATGTTCACAGCGCTTAGGTCCATTGGTCCAAAATTACTGTGCATGATTATCATAGTTTGCATTCCACATGAAAAAACATATTACGCATCTTGCATAAATTCATCATGCGCAACAAGGTTTCTTCAGTCTGCTAACTCACATTTGAAGGGGATATGCAGAAGGGTAGTCTCAAAAGCAGAAAAGTAACCCAGAACCATATGAACAGAATGAAAAAGGACAAGCAGAAATATCTTAAGCTCAAAAACACACAGTAACTCAAATCATATAAACTTGTGTCTTCAGCTGAAGATAAAATATTACATGAATATTAAAGAATAGTGAGAACAATAATTGCTGGACAATCCAAACATTAGTGAATCTAGGAGGGAACAAGAAATTAATTGAACAGTTGGGTAAAATCAGGGCACCTTTATTTTGCTTAGCCATGTCTGTGCTAGACTAACGAAATCCTCACAAGTACTTGAACCATCATGGCTTTTAAGTGATTTCTCCACAATCTCATCAGGGCTCTGCAAATCACTGAATCAATCAGATAAAAATAAACTCATGCAACAGAGAGTAAAAAACTCATGCAACAGGGAGTATGTACCCCAATAGAGTGATAAAGACGGGAATTGTTGTTCCCGTTTTCTCTAAATTGTTGAAAATATGATGTCCTATATGTAGAAATACAACAATGACACATTTGGAAAATGACTAATTGAACTAGATAATAGAAAGCAGGAAAATTTACGCATGACTTGCATCATGGTGGCATACACACTGAAGTTCACATGAAAAAAAATATAAGAAAAAAGAAGAAGACCAAACATTTGATAACATAAGAGGAAAAATGCAAATCAAGATGTACACACTGACACAAACAACTCAATCTTTCGACAATTTCATGCCTCCTTGTAGCTGCTGAATATCGTAAATATTTGAGCAAGAAACTCACAACATTCAGTTTATGAGATAGATTGAACTGAATATGTACATCAGCAAATAAGAGGGCATAGTCATGTCCTTAAAAGAAAACCCAAAGCATCTTAAATTTCCTATTGCTTTATGATCTGGGTATGCTTTTAAGGATCCTAATGCATTTGCAAGCAATTGACAAACTTCCGTACTCCTCCAAACAGATAAAAGAAACAAGTAACCACCTAACGACCTGCCAAGCTAAGGATTATTTAGGTTATCATCTCCATTTCCCATAAGCAAAATATGAAGTTTAAAGTAACTGAAAAGTAGAAAATCCACTCAATATTCCAAGATAAGGGCAACTTCTTGTGTGTTTGTAGACTCACTGACACCAAGAGCCAAACTAGATTTCAAAGTTAATCAGATGTCATTTCTACTTTAAAACATTTGATAACACTCCTAACACTGGGCATTATACCAACATTCTTCTTCTCTTTATTCCATCAAATAATTGTTTTTCTTAATATTCACCAAATCCATCAATTTATGTCCAAATTTCTGTTACATGGAACAAATTATTTCAGACACTTTTAATAAAGACAAGCTAGACTAACCTTACATATAGATAAACTTCCTACATGTAAGAATTTATGTATTTATTGATTGTTGCTGTATATAATTTCTGTCTATTACAAATGGTTCCTTATATAGATGTAGGTGTAGTGGATGGTGATAGTGGTGTAGTGGGTTAAGTTTAGTGGAGTAGGTGAGGTGGTAGTGGTGTAGTGGGTTAGGTTTAGTGGAGTAGGTGAGGTGGTAGTGGTGGTAGGTGATAGTAAATTCTAACACTACATTGTGGAGAAATACTTTAAAACCTAGAGCTTTTAGTTAAAGAATCTGGATCCTATAGAGTGATCTTAGTATTTTTTGTATGGATGAGATTTAAATCTACCAAAGTTGAGGGTACAATGGTATTGACAGTCACTTTTTAAAAAAATCTCAGCCATAGAAAAAATCACTCTAAGATCACTCTAGGAAAAATCGCTCTAGAGGATCCGGACTCTTAGTTTAAATTGGAGCAAGATAGAACATATGGAGTGTAAGTTCAACAAAACTAGAAGTATGAGAGCCAAGTAAAACTTAATGAAAATGAGGAGAATGTTGCTCAAATAGGATGGATGACATAGAAAAGTGCTTAAGATATTATTGTGTGATCATTTAGAATTTTTGACAAGTTGAAATAAAAGTTTTATAGAACTATAATGCCAAATACATTATATGTGGAGAATGTTTTGAAAAATGGATGTTGCCAAAATGAGAATGTTGAGATGAATGAATGGTGTCATAAAAAAATTTGAAGCAAGGAACAAGTACTTTCGTGAATTTTTTGTTTTTGTTTTTTTGGGATTGGCACCGGGGTATCCGGATCAAAACTTGACTAATCCCCAGGGGTGCACAAGCCCTCGACAAGGAGTTTCCCACAACTGCACCACAGTTAATTCAAAGGTTTTCTCTCAGTCCGATGGCCCCAAGGAATTGTTAACACCTAAGAGGTTTCGATCCTTGAACCTTGGAGGGAGCACACCCCCAAGACCCAAGGCCTTGCCACTAGGCCAACCCCTTAAAAATAAAATGAGAGGCTGCACCATGTATGACATTGACCAAATAATGCAATGATAATGAGGAGTGATGTGATCTAAATAATGCTAATAAGGAGTGATATCATACAAGTAGAGAGTGGCAAAAGGACAAGAAGAAAATGGATCCATGTTAGCCAACATCAAGCGATTGGGAATAAGGCTTATCGAGTTTCCATGGAAGTACATAATGCCCATAAATATCAGTAAGTAAAAATGAAGAAACCTATTTTCTGCATAAGGTTGTGTTTGGATCTTAAATTTGTGTACCAATTTGTTGATGGAAAGGAAAATGCAAGGGAAAAGTAACAAACTTCTCTTTTCCTTTCCCTCCAAGAATCCCTACTCAAATCCAAGATCCAACAACAACCTAAGATTTATGTAGGTTTTCTAATCTCTTAGTCATTAGGACTTTGGCATCTCCCGTGATTCCATACTATTAAAATGTACCAAAACCTACCACTACACCTACTCCACCCACTTCCCCTACTCTCCACCTACTCCTCACCTCCTACACACTCACCCACTACACACTCACCCTCTCCTATATATAGGAATCATTGTAACAACAACATACATCAATTAATAATATACATCAATTTATTTTTACATGGTATTAGAGCACTAAGATTTAGGCCTGTTTTTTTTCTCACCGGCGGGCAGCCGGCCGGCAACTTTGCCTTCGCTGCCCGCTGGAATTTTCTACACTTTACTTCGAGTTCTTCGCCATATTGCTCCCGAGTCTCAGGCGGGCTTGCCTTCATATCGCAGCCCGACTCGGAGCCTTCCTTGCACTGCCGAAGGAATACTTTAACCATCAGTCAGCAACCTTTTTCCGGCAAGTCGTTCGCCGGAAAGTCCATCGCCGCCGTACACTCCGGCCTCACCGACATCGATCAGATGTTTTATTTTATGTATTCGTCTATTTTCTTGTTTTGTTAGTCTCTCCAAACTCAAGTTGGTTAGTTCCTATCCCCCTTGAGTTTGCGGGGGGCTGTTAAAATGTACCAAAACCTACCACTACACCTACTCCACCCACTTCCCCTACTCTCCACCTACTCCTCACCTACTCCTCACCTACTACACACTCACCCTCTCCTATATATAGGAATCATTGTAACAACAACATACATCAATCAATAATATACATCAATTTATTTTTACACATACTCATAGAACTTTAACATCACACTTGGTTAAAGTTATTCCAGGCAAATACTAAACAGATAGGAAAAACTTTTCTCACAATGAACACTTCCTCCTACAAAAAATAAAAAATAAAAAAATGAACTCAATATACAAAAGATTATTTAACATCAAATTGCAACTTTCCACAACTAAATCAACTCAATATACATAATCATAAATCAAATTTCATTAAGTTAATCATATGGGAAGCGAATAAAATGCATGGTTGAAAGAAGAAGCTGTGTTATGGAGGGAAGACTGCAAAATACTAAATACAAAAATAGTTTTGGACCATCATTTTGGTACAAACAAAATTAACGAGCTGCTTCAAAGGATTTGTTAATAATATATGCTTAATAAATGTCAAGCTTCTGTATGGAAATTTCTTGCAAACTACACCAACCATAAATGAGCTAACAAAGGCATGGGAATGCGTTCCTCGGAGCGGTATTCCAAATAACCTCCCAGCTTCAACATTGCTGTCAAACACAACTCAAAAGTAAAATGAGCCACTCCAAAATCTACTTTCATCAAGAAGTTACTAGAAAACAGTAAGGATGTAAAGTTCAAGTTATTCATAAATCACTCAAAAACGGCAATGCACAATATATCTTTCTGTCATTCCATGTCTAACCTTTTGGTTTTAAATCTTTAAGTACATTAAAACATACTCCACAGTGATAAAGTAGAAGATTAGCAATGGATGTTTGCCAAGTAACATACTGGGTTCATAAGCTTGTATCCTGTTGTGAGCTTAATAAATCCTAGTGTTTTCTCTCTCGTGATCTTGTATCCTCCTTTGTAGTAGTACTTCATTTGTGGTTGCAAGTTGAGCAATACTTATCTAAAAAAGGAACATACTGCGCAGAGTGCCAGTGAGGCATCAAAATTGAAAGGGAAAAAGAAAAAGAAAAAATCATAAATCACATTCGAAACACATAAACACACACACACACACACACACAAATACATTAAAAAAACTAAACATACTAATAGGAAGGGGGTGAGGCCAACAATAGCTTAAGATGTATGGCCTTGCACTAAATTTTTTTGCATCTCACATAATAAGATCAAATTTAGAAGCCTTCAATTAGCCTCTTACTGCCCCCCCCCCCCCTCCCCCTCCTCCTCATCATCAAGATTTCCACTAATGTCCACATTCTAAAACCTCATTAACCAAAGAAATATGTAGATGAAGAGCTTATAAGTGAACCAATTGGCCATTTATCTCAAAAAATTTCACTTCCCTTTCTTTCATATATTTGTCAAATATTTATAACCCTCTACTCTGGTGCCGTGTAGTTGCAAAAGGCAAGCATTACCTTGGCTGAAGAGATATAGTATGGCAGCATTTTCCCTTATCTCAAACATAGCACACAGACAGGTATGATGAATAACTCCAAGTAAAGTTATGGTGGACACATGTTCAAGTGGGCAGATCACATTGTAAATATCGCAACATGTAGCAACCATCTAAGACAGCAACGTGATATATTATAATTGTCCATGGATTTTGTAATAATAAGTTCAATATATTTTCATGAACAAATGTAAAGTTTTACACAAAAAATATTTCATTTGCAATACTTTTTCCTCAAATTACTACAAGAAAACCAACCCTATATTCCAAAAATTTGAGAAATTCAGAATCTAAATCAATCCCATCTCTCAAATAAGAGTGGCTTTAGTTTAAAGCTGCAATCAATTTGAATTTAAAACATTAACTTATTCCAAATAATTCTTAACATGAACAACAGGTTTTGAACCTAAGTTTCTGATCTGACCAATAGAGTAAAAAGACTCCAACAAATATATGCAATCCCAATACATAAGTTTGTTAACCACAAATTTAAATAATAATTTAATATTAAAAAAGAATCACCTTGTTGCATCAAATCCTCCAATATAGCTGTACTTTGAAGCCCCTATTCCACCATCGGGGCCCTAAATGTAAAAATAAAATTAAAAAAAATAAATATAGAATCTATCGAAAATGAATAATGCTAATAATTTCTTCAAATCAAAGAAAAAATCTCAACAACCTGTGCACGACGAAGCCCAAACTCAAGAAGAAGTTTTGATTTTCCAGCAACAAAACGATGCCTTGCTGCATTTGTAGATACTAGTGATGCATAATTTATAAGATTCAAAATTGGAGTTTCCAGCAATTGAACTACCTGGAATAACAATAAGAGTATTAAGGTGTATTATGATCACAATTCAATAATGTAAGCAATTAAAAAACTTTATAAATTTAATGCCGGACAAAGAGAAAAAAATTTCAGAAATTAGAAGAAACAGTATGTAGGTACTCACAGCAATTGGCCCTTCAACTATCAGGAGAGGTACCTTTGGGAAAGCAACAGAACCCTCGGGAACAGCGTGTACTTCAACATCAGAACAGTCAATTCCTCTAAGATAATCATAGAAACCATCCTATATTTCATCAATCAATAATAATTAGTGAACCACTATTCTATACAGTACGAACATAGGCATAGTATCTAACAACTGCAATTTTAATATACCAGTAGCAAAAAAATGTAAAATAACCATGTGAAATTCTTTCATATTAGTAGACAACTTGCTTAATTTTCTAATGTGAGAAAGGTTTTGTAAAAGAGTGTGCAATGGTGAGAATGAAAATAGATTATAGAGTTAGCATAGAGTAGAAACTGTTTTAGCTTCTTGTAATGTTGCATTTGTATTCATAAATCCACATCTCACTCGCTCCAATATGCATTAATTTTAGTGTACCCTTGATGATTCCATAAACTCATCAGGCCCTAATAGCAAAATTTACACAGGCAATTTCTCTGCTATAATTTAAAACTCTGAAAGATTAAGTGGTCTACAATCTTGTTCATTTTGTACATCAGATACCACTGCAACCTAGTGCAAGAACAAGTCAACAGGCCATTCCCAATGCTGGTAGCTGATAATCAAGGGTGCTGGGAAACGTAGATTGGATATGGACCTAACCTTTGACATATATGCACAAAATGGCTAAAACTAAATGCGACTCCAACCTGCATTCCCATGCTTGGCAATCTGAGCATTTTACCACTGCACAAAGCAACGGCCCCTTGTGCAAGAACAAGTCATTTCAAAAAGTTCTCAAGTGTTAGGCTCATGTAGGACTACAAACGAGCTGAACCAAGCCAAGCATTTGAGTGTTCAAGCTTGTTTACTAAGAATTAGTTGAGCTCGAGCTTGGCTAGCCAAATATTTGAGAAACTCGAGCTCAGCTTGAGGCAACTCAACTACATAAACGAGCCGAGCTCAATCTTGAAAAAAGGATTAAACTTAAATTAATTTACTTATTAAGATTATAAAAAAAAGAAAATAAAAATTACAAGCAAAATATACAAGAAGGCATATATTAATAAAAAAATCAATCAAATACGTAAACTTACACATAACACCAAACACAGTAGAAAAATAAAATTAATGAAAATTTATTTGATCTATTATTATAAATAAATAGTAATTTATTTTCTTTATGTTCACGAGCCTTATTGAGCTGAGCTTGGGGCTACTCTAGCTCGGCTTCATAATGAGCCTAAAAATCAAACTCGAGCTCGCTTATTTAGTAAATGAACCGAGCTCAAACGAGCTATAAACAAGTCGAGCTCGAGCTGTTCATGAACAACTCGGTTCATTTGTAGCCCTAGGCTCATGTACATACATCAGACAACATTAGACATTGCCTCGTAATCTATGAACACAAAAGGCGCATTAAAAGTTGTGAACAATGTGTTGGATACAACATTTTATTTTGCAGAGAGGATAATTCATGTGACTATGTGCCACCATGGCTTGTGATCCAAATCATTGTATCATATGATCCTACAATATTAAATTCCCAAAACGGTCCAAATTGTAGTAAAATTGGTATTATAGCGGGATCTCAAGTAGGATAGTGTGGGATCATAGTAGGATCATGGGTAGGATCACAACTAGCATCTTTGGTCTTAAGATTTTTCACCTTATTTTTACTGTGTGTCATCCTTATCGCTGTTTTTACCTTCTTCTTTTTTTTGTTTATTTATAGAAAGTGGAATCTTACAATCCACAATCCAATCCGCGAGACCCTCTCACTGATGCCACGTAGGATTCCAATCTTAACAACCATGCGTGCCACAGAGTTGGGAGCGAAAAACACTTGTCATCGATCCAAGTCACAACCTCTTATTCTCATCTGTATATATGGCATATGCCCACAAATATAAATCTATACTGGCATCCAGTCATCCATGTTCTACAACAAAGCCTTCTTGTGCAAACATTGCTCAAATATTGAAAAGAAAAAGGAATTTTTTTGCACAACCCTAGGACAATGCATGACGTAACACAATTCACTTTTATATTTCAAAAATGAAAAATCTTTCCCCCAATTGCATGTATGCATCATATGAAAAATTCTGAAGGCTTTTACTATTTATCCATAGACAGCAAAGATGAACTAGTTTACCTCACATGTTTTAGGCAATGATGCCCGGATAAAAGCGATCTCCTCAGCTGTAAATTTAAAATTAGCAATGAACCTTATGCACTCTTCGAGACCAGCAAAAATTGTATATTCACCGCCGAAGGGATTCTTCCGAAAATATAAATCGAACCTGAAACATATTAAAGGTTGCAAGTGATAGGCATATTAGAAATATCCAAAGTATATATGGCCTCATAAAGGATTGCTTCACAATATGGAAAGAACAAAGTTAGAAGCTCAAAAGCAAGAGGAAAAACATACCAGCAAAATATAAAGTCAGTGCATACATGAAATTTCAAGAAGAAATCACCATGAAAATTCTAATCATGTTAAAGGTTACAAATGATAGGTTTCATTTCTCACCATAAGTGGTGAGATTTAATGAAAAACAAATTGATTGGTAGTTGATTTTTTATAATACCAAGATTGGCCATTGCAAAGAAAGAAAAAGAAATTTCACCCATATACCTATATCACATACTTTGCTTTCCTACTCATCCAAACATGATAGTAAGAAAACAAAATTATTTCTTTCTTTTTCTTACCTAGAGAAACAACAATCATTTCTTTTCTTTTCTCATCCGGCAATCCAAACATATTAACGACCCTGTAGATTCTTATGTTTGTTGAATTCATTCAACCAAGCTCATCATTTTCTCAGCTAAATCACAACATCCATGTTAATGAGATTCCTTTTCTATGGTTCCTTGTTTGTTCTCTAGCTTCCTAAACGTTCATAGCTTGAACACCACAAATGCTACTTTTTCACAAAACTTCATTAGGATTAAATTCAACGGCCGGGTTTCATCAATTGACTATTGGACAACGACCCAGTTTCAATTACAACCAAAATTTCAACTAATGCTATCAAATAAACAGCATATAACATTTAAAAAGTACAAAAAAAAAAAGAAGAAGAAACAAGAATGGCAAGAGACAATTGAGGAAAATGGACTCACACGGCTCGTTCGTTATGCTTGGCAGCTTTCCAGTAGGAATAGGCCATGGTGAACTGATAGAAATCGGAGAGGAGAGGTGTCACCATTGGATTGGTCGGTCCTGGGATAACAGGACGCTGGTTTTGTTCTTTTTTGGGGCCATTTGCTTTCGCAGCGTCCATTGCTGGGCGTACAAAATCCTAGGGTTCGGCTTTCTCTCTCTAGAATCTGCTTCTTCTTCTTCTACGTCAATATATATATATATATATATAAACAAATAAATAGGAGAAAGCAAATGAGAGTAGAACTCCTCTAAGAGAGAGAGAGAGAGAGAGTGGTTAAGACCGTTGGAGAGAAAGGGATGGAGGAGAATCAATTTACGCAAACAATGAAGTAATGGAAGGACTACGATTAACGAACCAGAATCCAACCAAAGAAAACAAAACAAAAACACTCGCAACGAGTTGGTGCCATCGAATCCACCGATTACTCTCGACATTTTTTTTAGTGTTAAAAATTCGATACAAATATAATAATGGATACAAAATTCACATGATTTATGGGTTAGTGAATTCCATCGAGTCTATTTTGACTATGTAAAGCACACTCGGTTTAAAAGTTTAAATTATAATTTTGTTTACTTGAAAAAGTTTAAATTATAATTTTGTTTACTTGAAAATATAAGCGTTGAAATACTTTGTTCAAAGAAATAAATTTAAATAAAATGACTAAAATGCCTTTTATATATATTATACACTATCATCGTTCACAAAAATCAAAAACACTCTCTCTCTCTCTAGTTCTCACAGTCACTTATTCACCACAAGCAGCTTCGTGGAAACGATTAGTCGACGTCGTCAGATTCTAACGACAAGAAGACATCATCGTTCTCGTCTCTTCTGGAGGTCATTATCATCATGATTGAGGTTCTGCCACCGTCAAGAAATCCTTCACCACTACACCGCCGCGTCAACCACTTTAGATCTGAGATCATCACCTCAATTCGATGACTCTATCGCCTCCGCCATTGCCATCGTGACTACCGCTACCACCTCCGTCGCCGCCCTCTCTTTCTCTTTCTCTCTCTCTCTCCTTTCCTCTTCTCTTCACCCTCCGTCGTCGATCTTCTCACATCGTTGCTATCACCTCTTCCTCTTTCGTCACTGCCGCAACCACCACTGCTGTCGCCACACCTCCTTCATCGCCGCCCTCTCTCTTATCCTTTTCTCTGTTTCTCTCCCTCTCTCTATATATATGTATATGTGTATGTTTATATGTTTCATGAAAATAATTTGGTTGTTGTTGTTGGGAAATTAAACTGGAAACCATAATCATAAAATAATACAATATCGAAATGCAATACCAAATTAGTCAAGACTTATGTTGGACACAATTTCTTTAAGTTTTAATTCGCCTCCACCTAGGTGCTCGGATTATCGGCGCCAACCTTACAAGATACAACGACTAGAATCCAAGACAGTAGCACGACGATCCCAGATATAGTGAACCAAACTTGTGTTGCACTCTCTTTGACTCAAAGACACAAAATTGAATAAAGATGAAACAGAAAACAGAGCAATGAAATTCTAAAAAATTTCAATGCAACTCTGATTCTAATTTTGATTATAATTCGATTCAAATTTCTTTCACCAACAACTAAGGATGAGGAGGTATATATATAGACTTGAAATAGTGGTGTGAGGAATGTGTTAACAACCTCAAATGCTGTTCCAATTTTGACTGTCCGTTGTAAGAAACGTAATGAGCAATGTCATGAGAAACGTGGTGTCCTGTACCAAATTCGGCGAAGAATTTAGCCTACACCATATCACACCTCCATCTGGAATTCTCAAGAAGAAGAGAGAAACCAAATTACAATTAAATTGAATTTCCACTGAAGGCTTCAGAGTTTCTGAAAGAAACCAAAAACAAATTCAATTTTGAATTTGTTCAAATACTGTTTTTTCGAAACCTTCTTCGAAGTCAATTTTACATTCACTTGAAAAATGGTTTTGATCAACCAAATATACAATGTGAATCACCACCCGACATAGATCACATTTCTAACTGGATACATCTCAATCGATATCTGGATCCTATCTCAAATTAGGCTCGAAGTTGGCCAAAAATCATGGTTTAAAAACCATTTTTCCAACAATTGTTGATGTGCATAATATATATGTGGCAGATATGATGTGTGGATAAAATATATGGCAGATCTGTGTTTTGATTTTAAAACCAATCAAGTTTTGGAAGATCACTAATCTTCAATTCTTTCCTACTGATTTCTCTATTCTGAATAACATTTTCATTTGGTGCCATTTTTTTTTGTTTTGTTTTGGGTAGTTGTTGATCTCTAGTTCTTGTTCTTGTCATTGTTGATGATGATCTGTTGAAAAATCTGGTGATAATCTATTGAGAAATCTGGTGATGATCTGTTCAATTTTGAATAGATTAAAAACAAATTGAACAGATAAAGGTTTTTTTAGTTGTAGAGTAAAAATAATTTGAATAGGTAATTTTTATTTGTTTAGCTTCATATCTTTTTGGATTTTTTTTTCTTATTTTTTGTTGTTGTTGTTGTTCTTGATGATGATGATTATGATGAAACATATTGCAACTTATTGAAAAAAAAAACATTTGCACAGATTTGTTCAATTTTGAGCATGTAGGTTTAAAAGAATTTGTATGAGATTTGTTGAATTTTGAACAGACAGATTTCAATAGATAGGAAAATTAGGACATGTTTTAAATAGATTTGTGTGTTGATTTTTTTCTTTGTTGTTGTTGAACAGATAAAAAAAATAGATAATTTTTTTCGTTGTTGTTGTTCATCATCATCTCAAATGATTTTTTCTTCTTCTTTGTTGACCAGATATAGTTGTTGGATTTAGCTATTAGGTCTGTAAAAGTGTTGTTGTGGTGTTGTTTTTTGAACAAATAGTTGTGTTTTTTTCCCCGAACTACAGATAAGTGGCAGTTGTTGTTGTTGTTGTTGTTGTTGTTGTTGTTGTTATTGTTATTATATAAATAAAAGGTTTTGATCTATCTATATTGAATAGAGATTTTTTTAGCAGATAAAAACAAAAATTTGAATAGATATATTTGTGTATGTATTGGATTATATTTGACTATTGGTGGTGGGAAATTTTAACAAATAGGGAGAAAAAATGAGAGAGAGAGAGAGAGAGAAAAGATAAAGAAAGAAATAGATAGAAAGAGAAAAGAGAGAAAAAAGAGGAACAGAGAGAGAGTTTAAAAATGGTGTGAATTTGAACCAAAAACAAAAATAGGTAAAAAAAAATCTAACAAATAGGTTAAAAAATTCAACAAATAAAAAAAAAAGAAAATTAGTCTAAGGTCCCTCTCTCATTTTTAGTAATGGAAGAGATCCACAATATTATTTTATGATGGCTAAGGTCCTTCAAATAAATTTGATATATCTTACACCTTCAAACCTTCATTCCCCCTCTCTTTCTCTCTTTGCTGCTCTTTTCTCTCTCTCTCTCTTGTCGATCCAGCTTGCTGGCCACTCTCACTTCGTCGAAGACATCATCCTTTCTTCCGACGGCCAGTTCGCTCTCTCCGGAAGCTAGGACTCCGAGCTCCGTCTCTCGGACCTCTCCACCGGCATCACTACTAGCCACTTTGTCGGCCACTCCAAAGACGTCCTCTTCGTCACTTTTTCCTTCGATAATCGCCAACATGTTGGAATGATAAACCTGGTTCTGAGCACTACTCAACGTTGAAATGGTCGACACTAGCGTTAAAATAGTTGGATGATGATGCTTAGACAGAAGGTTGAGTTCCCAAGGAACTAAAGCTAGGGCACTGCTAAGATTTGGGTCTGAGGCATAAGGTTGATACTTCTGCAAGTAATTAAATTAGTCATTAGTAAAAGGTCTGGGAAATTAAAATGAAGAGCCCACCAGTTCAATAGAAGGTTAACTACATAACAAGAATAGAATAGGTATATGATCAAAAGTTTTGGGGAATACACTTGCTACATGTATAAATTATGTATATACAAGTATGATTATATATATACACTTGTATGTGTGTATAAACTGATGTAGTGTATGATTATATATTTTGATAGGTATATATCTTTGGTTGTTCAAATTTCTCTTATGGACCAAACCAGAGAATTTCTCTGGACTAACCTAGAAAAAATTCAATTAAAACTAGAGAATTTCTCTGGACCAACTCAGAGAAAATTTAGTCCAAACTAGAGAATTTCTCTAGACCAACCCAGAGAAAATTCAGACCAACCTAAAGAAAATTCAGTTCAAACCAGAGAATTTATCTGGACTAACCCAGAGAAAATTCAGTTCAAATCAAAGAAAATTCAGTCTAAACCAAAGAATTTCTCTGGACCATGTAAACAAACCCAGAAGTCTCTGAAGATTTTTTTGGGTGGATAACACTCTGAAGATCCATAGTGTTTAATCCCAATTGCTTTGATTTCACAGTGTAAAAGCCCCTCTCATGTTTGGGTTTCTCTCTTTCTCTGATCAAAACAGACATCTGGTTCTTGGGTTGTTGCCAACAGTTGCTGAAATCATTACTTGTTTTATGCTAAATCCTTCAAATTCGTTTATGAATGTTATAGTGCAATTTCTAATCACCTATTTTGGTGATCTTGCTATTGTTGTTTGATTTATTTATGACCCAATTCTATAGCTTGCTTGGTGTTATCATTTGATGCTTTTTTGTTCAAGAGAACCTTATCTGGAGCGTTTGATCATCTTGACTCTCAGAGGTTGTATATTCTCTTTTATATGATTTACTTGTAGTAAATTTATTGGTATTTTGCAACATTGAATTGATTATACATTTCTAGTTACTTGAATTTTCCTAGTTTTTGTGCCCAAGCTGGGGTTCAATACCATACTTCAAGTTCTATTCCAAGAAACCTATTTCCTGCTACTTGAATTTACCATATTCTCAACAACCTTCTAAAAAATTTAACAACCCCATTTGAAATTCTCATCATGCTTTGAAATACTTTTTGAACCTCTTATTTCATTAATTGGAAATCATTTTTGTTGACTACTTTGATCTGCCATTCACTTAAAACCCATATGCCTTTTTGTTTGCATTGATATTCTCTGTAAATATGCATCCAAATCACTGAAGCTATCAAACTACAGACAATACAAGTGAATTTCTGTGGTTGGCGGGGATTTTCTCTAGGGTTGAGTAAATTTCTCTGGGGTAGAGAAGAAAATTTCTCTGGTTTGAATCCAGAGAAATTCTCTGGTGAGATTTTCTCTATGATGTGTCCAGAAGCATTTGGAATTTTCTCTGTGATTTGTCCAAAGAAATTCTCTAGATTGAATTTTCTCTAGATCGAATTTTCTTTGGATCAATATTGAGGGACCTTAGACATTATTGATGTAGGCCGAAAGGTACCACATTGAGGCCACTTAGGTTACATTTTTAGTCTTTTAATTTTATTTATTTGGTGGAGATGATGTGTTTCGTGCATTTGTACAGAATTGACAGGAAATATGAAAATTCAATCA